AACTCTCGATGGGGCGTTTAGTACGCAATAATCAATAGAAATCATATTTTTAAGAAAGTGATAGAGGGTAATATGATTTTCAAGAATAATACATTACTATGTTTGGTTCCATATAAAAAATTTTCTCAAATTCTTAGGAATATTACATTACCGTGTTTAGTTGTGCATTAAAATATTGTGTATTAAAAAACATATATTTTTTAAATGAATTACAATTAGCACATAAAATATTTTTTAAATATTTAGCCCATAACATTAGAACTAATATTTTAAAAAGTATAAAAAACAACACATCAAGTAGTCCATAAAATTATCAAATAATATGGGTTTCAATATGTTAGCTAAAATCTTCTATACTCAAAAGTTCTTACGAAAGTTCTAAACATGAGAACATATTCTTGAATAAGGTTCCAAACCTGTAATTAAAAGTTCTAAATCTAGGACCACATATAAAAGTTCCAAAGATGCCATCAAAAAGATCTAAATATTGGACCATATATTCAAGTTTGTAAATATAGCACCAAAAGCTTCAACCTAACTGATTCCAAAAGAGATAGAAGAAAATCTAACTTAAATTCATCATCCAATGAAGAAATAGTTGGTGTAGTCATGGTTTTGGACAAGAAGTATTCTGACTCGTACTTGTTGTGCATTTGTTAGTCCTTCTACCTTCTTCACTTTATTAAACACCTACATCCTCCTTGCAGCACTATCAGCCTCGTATTAAAAACAATTAGCGAGCCTACCAATATTCTCACCAGCCATAGCATACATATTAGAAAATTTTTGTATTGTCTCAGTTAAAGTATCAACAATACATCTCCACTTTGAGATCTCTTTCACTTTTTCCTTCCTGATGCTAATGGTGTTGATTGATTGTGTGCTAGGACCACCAATGCTTGCAGTTCCATGTGCTCATCGGACATAAGCAAGGGATCATAATTAAGATCATTTTTTGTTTCTTTATCAATGTCATCAACCATATCAGTCAATCACATTGCACCTTGTCCATTAGCACAATCCTTTCCAAACACAAGTCCTAACTCATCATAATAAGGAAACGGCTTGTTTTTTAAGCCTTTCGCAGTTGGGTGACTCTGTAATATATATGGAATGTAAATTAAACAATAAAAGAGCCTAATATACTGAAACTTAAAATTTATAACCGGTTAAAAAAATACTAACCTTAACCCACTCATCAAACACATCTTTCTCAACCACAACGCATTTATTCTTATCATTCCAACCAAAGCCACTACCGGTAGGGCTCAACATTTCAGAAATGGCATGATATTATTTCTTTAATATCTTTACATGAGAATCAATGTGTGGTTGTGCTTTAAGCCCACATTGTGGAATCTTTTCGTTCATCATTTTCTCCAATTGTTGTAAGTAACTAGGCTTGAACGTACCATTATCTACTTTCCATTTTCCACTATTAGCCATATCCAACAAGACTAGCTTTGAATCTTCCAATGCAGCCCATTGATGCTTCCATTAGCATCCATTCTGTGTACAAATTACACACTTTAATATGCAACAAAGCAACACATCAATATATCTTATTAAAAATCACAACAACAATGTCATACATATTTATTAAGAATCACAACAACAGCGTCATACATATTTATTATGAATCACAACAACAATGTCATACATTTATTATGAATCACAACAACAATGTCATACATAAACCATATTAATGGCGATTTTCTCGCCATTGGTTAAACATTTCCCTAGCCAAGTTATTTCTCCATGCAGTCCAAGCATTGGATGTTTCAATATGTGTGTAATGCTCTACTTCTTGTTCATCCTCCGATTGTCTTTCATAAGGATCAATAGCCATTTCCCTCCTAATTAAGTTGTGAAGAATACAACATGCGACAATAATCCTACATTGTACATTCTTCTTCTTCTTCCAATTGTCTTTCATAAGGATCAATAGCCATTTCCCTCCTAATTAAGTTGTGAAGAATACAACATGCGACAATAATCCTACATTGTACATTGATCAGATAGAATGATTTTTCCCTAAGAATTGACCATCGACCCTTTAAAAGTCCAAATGTCTTGAGAAAGTAAATAACACTATATTGGTAAGTTGTGAAGAATACAACATGCAACAAATATCCTACATTGTACATTGATCGGATAGAATGATTTTTTCTTGAGAATTGACCATCGCCCCTTCAAAAGTCTAAATGTCATGGAAAAGTAAATAACACCATATTGGGTGGGTTTAGGATTACCCCAAAATGTGGTAATGTGAAACTCATGGGCTTCATTTTCTTGGATTTTAAAAAAATATAATAATTGTTCCAAACATGAGAATCTGAAATATTTTCATTCTCATTCCTAAGATTACTTCATATCAAACGCCCCCTAAAAAAATTGTGGATTACAGTTTTCAAGAGCAATAATCCGTGTCGCCGCCACCATTCGTTCAAACCTCGCTAGCTGTCCGCCCACCCCAAGAAGAATTTTTGCCATCCCTACAACAGAATTGTTTGTCACAGAATTACTTGAGTTGTATATTCCAAGCAACATTGAAAAAAAAAAAAAAAAAAAACCTTCTATTATTTGCTGGCAACTATCGTATATGATGATCAGACAATTATTCTAAAGCATAACAGTTGAAGATGCATGCAACTAATTATATTCCGCTTTTGCCGGCCATGGTCAATTTCATTACTAATCTTAGTATACCAGATAAATTCCGTTAATCCACGCCTAAAAAAAGGCTTAAATATCATGGACTTGCCAATAAACACTTTCAAAGCATAACCTCCTGTGGACTTATTCTTTCACACATGCCAAAACAAAGTGAAAGTAATTTAGTTTTACTAGATATTTTTTATTCAATATTTTCTTAGGCCAATATCTTCTTCAAAATATTGTTACCTAATCAAAATAATTTGATGTCTCTCTATTTTTGTCAGTTTTCTTGTTCACTAAGGCGATTCTTGTTCACATCTAGAAAATGAAAAGAAAAAATGAAAAAAAAAAACAAGAAAAAAAGAATGGAGCATATTGTAATAATTTTACAAATTGAGAGAAACTTATTAAAATTAAAAGTTTAAGAGGTAATTTACTAAAGTACGATAAGTTTAGAGAATAAATGTGTTAAAAACCCTTATAAGTTTTTAGGTAGGGCACCTATTTATTAAGGTGATTGTTGTTGACATCCATCAGTGGAATAAGTACTTTTAGAGGTCGTTTGTTTCGTAGGTTTAAATTACAATTTAAATTGTTTTATTACAATATTTTCTATTTAAAAATTTTAAATTTTTGTTCAAATTTTTAAGTTGGAAGCCAATTCTATAAACGAAACGGCATTTTAATCGTTTGATTAAATATTGAACGGCATGATCTTTAGGCTTCGTTCACTTCGCGGATTTGAGTTTTCAATTCGAGCTGAAATGTGACATTTTCTGATAGTTTTTCACTATAACAGAAAAAGTTAGATGTAATATTTTCTGAGAGTTTTTTACTATAAAAATTTAAAACTAAAAACTCCAATCGATGAAATGAACGAGGCTTAAATATCTACATTAAAAAGTACTCCCTATTGTACATTAGATTGTTATAATTCAACGAAGTGACTTTAGAAACGTGTTTACTGGTAGGATAGGGCAAAACAATGTGCTCAATTTTTTATAAACTTTCGTTAAAAAGAGAACTTAAATAAAAGCTGCAAAATGGCGAATCAGAAGTCACCACGTGACAGGATCAGGACTGCAGCTATGGCGCCAACTAAGGGGGTGGAATCACAGACTGTCAAAGCTGAGAAAAGAAAGAGAAGCTCACATGGGCTAACCGTGAACGGAACATGCGTGTGGGCCCTACCTTTTGTTTTACAAAGATTTTAGGACAAATTACCCTTTTCCATCCTGAACTATTAACATTGTAATAAATTGCCTTTAAAATTTTAAAAATAATAAATTTTTTTTCTGAAGAATTAACTGTTAGCAAGTTTTTTTTCTTTTTTGTCTTATCGGTTAAGTTTTAAATTTTAAGTATCACATTAGTTATATGTGATTCTCATTTTAAGAATAAATAAGTAATTTATTGTGTTGAGTTAAAAATATGACAAAATCTTCCATTTTCGAAATAAGGCAAAAAAGGGCAAAAAATTTTGAGAAATTGAGACATCCAACCCCCATCTTCAAACCCATTCCCACACACCCAAAATCCTCTCATCATATTCGATCTCCCCGTTCGAAATGAAGGCTTTGAATTCCTTCAAACTAATCAGTGAAAAAAATCATCGAAAAAGGAAGAGATTGAGTCAATATAAAGAAGTTGAATTGTCAATGGCTGAAAGTTAGATTTTATGAACCCTAATTATGTAATTTGGTAAAAATTTTGTTCTTCTTATGGGTCAAGAAACAGGGTCAAAAAGACCCCAGACAAAATTTGTCTCAACCTCCTCATTAATTTCTCCTTCTCATCATCTACATTTGAGCCCAATCCTTATAGAGTTGTGCGAACCCTTCTTACCTATGCTACTACTGTTGGCCGTCATTCATGAACTCAAGCAAGGTGGAGTAACCCAAGGTTGTGACTCTTCTCGTCGAATTTGGGCAAAATTAGATAGGGCCGAGAAATGGGAATTAGGGCAAAATTCAAAAATGACCACGAAATAAAAATGGAACTTGAGAAAGAGATGAGTATATGAGTAAAATTGTCATTTCATAATAGAATAAAAATTAAATGTCTCAGCGATTTTCACGTGACACTTAACATTTAAAATTTAATAGAGAAGATGAAAAATAAGGACACATGCTAACGGTTAATTGTTCAAGAAAAAAATTTATCATTTTTAAAATTTAAGAGATATTTTGTTATAAGGCCAATAGTTCAGGGGCAAAGTGTAATTTGTCCAAGATTTTATTAGTAATTACCGACATTACCGGTTTTACCGGTTTTGTCTCTCCTCCTCAGAAACTCCCTGTATACATAAACATAATAACCCTCTCTCTCTCTCTCTCTCTCTCTCTCTCTCTCTCCCAGTTCATCTCTTCGAAATTCCAATCACATTCGCAATTCCCTTCTCCTTCGTCTGGTTTGCTTCTTCTCTCGGAGCCCTAAATCCCAATCTCTCTCTCTCTCTGCGCTCTTTCTCATTCCGAGAGACGTCGCAGAGAGAGATCCAAACTTAACTAGGCCTCTGTTTTTTTCTTTTTCAAACTTTAACTCTTTGCTAACGAGTGAAAGAAATAAGCAAAAATGGCGATTTCCAAGGTTTTGGTCGGAGTTTTTGCCGTCATCGCTCTTGTCTTGAGCGTTTCTTTCCCTGCCGCGATGGCTCAGGCCACGGCTCCGGCTCCGGCTCCCACCAGCGACGGTTAGTTTTCCACTTACAAGCATCATGAATATATATTTAGAGGAATGTAGAGATTATATGTTTTCCAGATCTGAATTGAAAATTTTGAACAATGTAGTTGAGTTTGCCAATACTGCAATGTAGATCAATAAGGATCCGAGAGAGAGAATTTGGGGATTTGTTGAATCAGGCTTTAGGACTTGTGGGGTCTTTAAAGAAAAAAGTAGAAACTTTGTAGGCTCTTTTGAATATCCTACATTTGTGTGATTATTGTGCATGTCTTAAAGGAATCAATAGACATATGTAGATAATAGTATGCACAATTATAAAAAATAAAAAATGCACGTTTGTTTTTTGAACTTGAGGTTCGGAGATTCGAACTCTGAACATCAACATTAGGGGCATGATAATGTACATTTTTGTGCACTACATAATTCTTCTTTTAAAAAATCCAAAAAAAAAAAAAAAAACTAGTTAATGTTGGATTGTCCATTTTTCAGGAACATCCATTGACCAAGGGATTGCATACGTGCTGATGTTGGTGGCGTTGGTGTTGACATACCTCATCCACGCAGCGAATATTTCCTACAGCTTCTAATTTGACATTTGGAAACTCTTTTGGAATGTAGTGTCAAGAGTGAAGAGCGTAGGATTGAGAAAGAGGGAGATTCAAATTGGGTTGATGGGTTTGTATGGTGTCTCCATTCAATTTCAATCTTTGGGTTGCAGATGAATTGTTTGTGTTATTCGGTCATGAATCATGTATTGAGAGGCTTTTATGAATTCATAACTAGTGTTCTGACTTTGACACATTGTGCCTGTTTGGAATCCATTTCGAAAACATTTTTCACGTTTTTCGAGGAGAAAAAAATGGAAATCATTTGAGAATTGCGTTTGGAGCAATCTTCAACCAAAAACAAAACTAAAAATGTTTTTGGCCTTTCTCACAAAATCACCCAATTTCTGAAAACGAATTTGAGTCGTTTTCCTTTCCCGTTTTCATTTTCTCCTCACTATTTCCTTGAACCTCACCAAATCTAAACCTTTTTCTCGTGATCAATACTGTTCGGAACAAGTTGTCTCGGCCGGCCAAAAGTGTCAAAGTCTTCGTCGGCAGCTGCCAAAAGCGAATGTCTGCCTTGAGAAATGATCTCAACTGTCGATTTCCAAACGGAGCTTCCGATGTCGTCGATCGCTTGGCCGACCGATTCGAGCGACTCCTGAGTGATGGTGATGCTAATCTCGAGCGACGTAGGGAGGTCCTTGACGGCGTATGAGGAGGTGTCGTGGATCACCACCGTCTCCATCCTCAAGCCGGAGCCAAACTCCTCAAGATCCTTGTGGTAGGCGGGAGCGTCGTCGTTTTGGGGCTTGTTGGAGTCGGAGGGCTCCAAGGATTCGTCGGTAAAGACGGCCTTGAAGAAATCCATTGAAGGAGAAAGGACGGACTTGAAGAAATCCATTGAAGGAGAAGAGTTCGCAGGGATTTTTTTTTTTTTTTTTTTTGGGGTGAAAGAACGTTCTATGGAGAGGGAAAGAAGTGGAAGTTAAGAATATATCACCAGAAAGTTCCCATGGGAAACAAAGAAAGATTTAATAAGAAAAGTTTTAGGATCAGTATAAATGAATTACCAAACCAAACATTTTTATTTTTTCTTATATCAAAAACAATCTCAGAATAAAACTATCAAACGCATTTTCAGAACTGATTTCTGTCTGAGATTGAAAATGCTTTCATTTTTATTTTCATACAAAAAATAAAATTATTTTGAAACGAGTTTCAAGCAGCCTAATTGTTTTGTTCCTGTCGTTGGACATTTCTAGTAGGTTGATTAATGTCATTATTCTAATTTTCTTTCTAAGAAGTAAGACCAAGCAAATAGTGAGCAGCTTCTTAACTCGTCATTTCCTTCCTAAACTAGTTTCCATGACCATCTCAACGACGTCTTTGAGTTTAGTTCTGCCATGGATAAGTACAAGGGCAGGGCTCGAAAATTAAACCGGTGACGAGCCAACCCTGCCTTCATTGTAGCGGCGATGACAAACTTTGAAATAATTCTACAAAATTTGTTTTTGCTTGCCGAAGATGAAAAATAAAATGTGATACATCACAGAAATGTCCACCCCCCTCTTGAATATTAGGAGGTTCGAGTGGATATATTAAAACAGAAGCAAAATCCTAAAAGAATCGATGCCATAGGGTCAAATGCTTCTTGCTTTCTACAACTAATGTCCTAGTTGGTATTTATGAGTGGAGCAATTTGCAGAACAAAAAGGATGACTAAAAGAAATTCTATACTTCTATGCATATACAAAAAAACTTCTCCAATATAGATCCATTTGCCAAAAGTAAAAACGGTTAACTAAGGAGCAGCATTAAGCTGGCATAAGCCATGTAGTAATTTCTCCTTCACTTATCCCAACTCCTACGAGTTCTTTGATATCTATGCCAAATCAGAAACAAAGTTGTTAGTGGTAGCCTGAAAAGCAAACTCTATTTCATCACTGACAACAGCAAACGTAGAACAAAAACTTCCAGTTTTCCAAGTGTGCATAGCTATAATGAAGAATTTGAATGCTTATATAATAATAATACACGTTTGTTCTTCCAAAATAAATTACCCCAAGAATGGGATTAAGTTATTACTTCTTTTCAAACTCCAAGATACAATTGGAGAGGAAGAAAACGGACGGTTTCCCCCATTACAAAAGGGTGCGGTGTGGGTAAAACTCTCTCTCATCAAATATAGTAACAGATCTCAGCCGGCTAATCCTACTGATACAGAACTCCATTCAAGCTTTCTTATCACTCGGCTTGGCTTCCTGTCGTTCCTGATCAGCTATCGAGAACTTTTTCACTTTCTGCACAGGTTAGGAAAATAAGTACGAGAATTTCAATCTTAAAGTCAATTTTAAGCACAACATACGGAAAAACAAATGAAAACAACTCTTTGTGTGTTGTGCATGCATCCACAGGTGTTTGCAGTTGAAATCAAAACCAAGACATGTAAATATAATGCAGTAACCTATTAAATAAATTAAAAAAAAAAAAAACAGAGAGATTATGGTAGTGCGATTGCGTCCTTAACATCTTTTTTTTTTTTTCATATCAAAATTAATAGCATAATCCTTCAATCCAAACTAAGATCTTAATAACTTTAGAGTCATGAACTCCTAGTATTTGAATAATCTGAACAGCAACAGAAATAAGTAAGCTTTCTATACATGAATCAAGGGTCATTCCATTTCAAGATCAAATTTTGAATTAGTAAACAGTTTGATAGCGTTATTTTCACACTTAAGTTTTAGTTCCCCAGTTTCTTTATATCAAGGGAGCCGCCTCTTTTAGGGCCAAGAGAAAGGTTAGAAAGAAATGTAAATCTTGTATAGTTGTAATCTTCCTCTTCACCATAGTGAACTATTGTAACTTTTGTAAAGCGGGCATGGCTCACAATGGGATGATCAGCTATAAATCTTCTTTTTTGCTTAGCTTTTTCTCCAGCAATTTTATTGCTCTTGGTAGCAAAAAATTAGGGCGTCCAATTCTTAACATTTCGGTCATTAGTAATTCATTATACAGGCAGTTCATAACAAATTACATTGCTTTTCTTCTGTAAACCTTGCGATCCACCGGACTTCCAAAATCAAGCTCAATCCAAAGTTCATTGTCAATAAGTTCTAATGGTAATGACAATTCACAACCTAATAATTCCCAATTTTGGCATTGAATAACTTGAATAATATTCATTTTCCTTCTTTAATTAATAAAAAAATTAATCAACCAAGAGTTGAAAGCGTACAGCAATTGTTCACAGAATCATAACCGAAATAGAATTGTGCTTCGTGTTCCTTAAAATTTACCACAAGTCGAAAAAAAAAATTTTAATTGGGAGGAAAAGAGAAGAAAAAGTACCTTGGCGAGGACGCACTCTCGCAACGAATGAAGAAGACGAGTGCATTTGTCTTGGTCGAAGGGAGACTCGGTGACGCAGTTGAGAAGATCGATCGCCTCTTGGCCGCAAACCGGCTGAGCACGAGATTGTTCCATTTGGTACTCAGAATTAGGGTTTTACGGCCTGGGCTAAAACCTGGTAAAAGTAAAGTTCGCTGTTTGGTTCTCGAGAAAATCGAGCCAGGAGAATCAGGACTCCGCAGCAGTTTCTAGCAAACTACAGGCGGCATCAGGTCCTGCCGGTGTAAACGGTACGTACGTGGTTTTCTTGATAATAATTAAGGTTTTTCATTTCATTTATTTGATTTTTATTATAGTAAAAAAAATTTTAAAAATAATTATATTTAATTTTTTTTAAAGTTTATTCATAATCCGTCTTATCACTAATCTTAATTTTAATTGTTGAATGTAATTAAAATTATATCATATTAAAAAAATATATATAATACACAAATTTTAATATAAATTTACCGATTAAAAAATAAAAAATTATTAATAGTCTATTTTTATAAGAACTATAAAAAATATCCATTTCTTTTAGCTGAAAAGAAAAGGAAAGAAAATTAACTTTTAAATAAAAAAAATATAAAGTAAATAGTAGATTTATAAAACTAAATTAAGTAAATAACATGTTTTAAAACTATTTTAAAAAAATAACAGTTTACGTGGTTAATGAATTACTCATTTATCATATCATATTAAAAATTTATGCATAATAGATAGATTCTAATATAGAATTGATGATTAAAAAGTAAAAAACTATCGGTAGTCTATTTTTATAGAGATTACCAGAGAAAGTCCATTTTTTTAGCCGAAAAGAAAAGGAAAGAAAAATAATTTTAGATGAAAAAAGAACATGTAAATAGCATATTTATAAAATTAAATCAAGTAAATAATAGGTTTTAAAATTATTTAAAATAAATAATAATTTATGTGGTAAATAAATCATTCATTTACAGCATAAATGGTTCATTTATAATTAATAAATTGAGACTATGGGTAAGGCAAACTACAAGAGAAACTCTCTTATTTTATGTAAATTTTAATCAATTTTTTGAACAAAACTTTGCGTGAAGAAGGAAAAATTGCAAATATTGTATAAAAAAGTTTTTTCTACGATTTTCTCATTTTTATGTAACATACAAAGGTGACTAATGTAACAGAACATTTGTTTAGAGGGAGAAATACAAAAATGTAACTTAAAAGATGTCATATTTATATTTATGCCCTAATGACATATACTTAACATTTATGTTAATTCATTGGAAAATATCTTAATAAAATATGTCAGATTATCTTTTCTTTACGAAAAAAATGGTGGGACATCTTCAAAGGACAAAGAGTATTCTAGTGGAATTTATTAATATTCTACTAAAATATTTGTAAATTACAATAATAGCATAAATCTAAAATTGTTGGATTTTGTAGGCATACTACATAATTTTTTCTTGTTTTTCGTATGTAATATAGACGTTACGAATATGCAACTATATTTTAGATGAGTGATTTCTTGTGTTACACATGTTGTTGAACATAAATGCTATATTAAACGAGTGTTACGTTACACACGTCTTATTTCTATATGTTACATTTACAACATGAGCTTACCGGTAGGACTATATAAAAGCCTTGCAGATGAGCATTACATTTTTTTATCGAAACAAAATATGTCTTTCCAATTAAGTATTTGTAGATTTGGTAATGTAGGACCTTGTGATTAGTTATTCTCCAACTTCATATTTAGATAATTATATGAGAGTTTCTCCAATAGGATCATAAAAAATGTACTATAAATAGTTATTTATTTTCGGTCTTCAGATCTGTATTAAAAATTGTTTATTTTGTATATTTTTT